AATTTTCATAAAGTCCAATTTACCAATTTTTTTTCTTTTGTTGTTCATGCTTTTTGCTACAAATCTAAGATTGCTTTGTCAAATCCAAGGTTATGAATATTTACCCTGATGTTTTCTTCTATTAGTTTTATAGAGGTTAACTCTTATACTTGGTCATTGACCCATTTAAGTTAAAATCTGAACATGGAATGACGTAGGACCCAACTGCATTCTTTTCCATGTGGCTCTCCAGTTGTTGCAGCACCATTTGTAAGAGAGATCATTCCTTCCTCATTGAATGGTCTTTTTTCCCTTGTCAAAATTCTATGTCTGTCTCCGTTTCTTCCCGTTTCCCTGTCGTCTCTCTCACTTGCTCTCTCTCTGTCTGTCCTCACCTTTTCCACATCCTGCAGACATCCCCTCACTGTCAACATCCCCTCTGTTGTCTTGTGATGGCAGCGTCCCACATGGAAGGGAGTGATGGATTTGGGGGTGGCCTCGGGAAAGCACTCAGCCAGTGGAGGGATGCTGTGAAGAGAATGGGAGTAGAAGGTAGTGTTAGTCTTTCCTTTTAAATTCAAATCAGGAATATTTGTGCAATATTTTGTTAAAATCTGAGTCCACCTCTTGCTTTTCCATTTTCATTAGACCTTGTGGAAAATTAACTGTTGAATCAATATATGATTCAAGGTTCTTGAGTTTTTCCTTTCTCTTTCATTCCTTCTATTTCCCCTTTCCCATAATGTCCTTGTTATTCAGTGGTGGCCACACAGCATTTGAGGCCTTTGAACTGGGATTCACTGTCATCCAGACGAGGCGGATTATGTACTAGTTAGGGGCAAGCAGCACCAGCTTTCTGGGTCTCAGGTTCCTCATTGGTAAAATGAGGAGTGAATGTGAAAGTACTTTAGAAACCACACAGCAAGGAGTTATTTTTATAATATTAAAACTATGAGTAATTGATTGCTGTTTTAAAGCCACATGTTGGAGAAGTCACAGCTGCAAGAAATAATGGGGCTTTTCCTTTGGTGAGATAGGATGCTAGAGGGGTGATGTGGTGTAACCAGAAGCTGAGACCCTCATTGATATCCAGACCCTAGAGACTCCACCCACATTCTCTCTGCCTGCTCAATCTCTGACTTCCTTTATACTTGCAGAGATGTAGAGATCATCAAGTTTTACCTGACGGCCTCCCACACGGAGGGCTGACTCTCAGGCACCCTTCTCCCTCTTCACAGACTCTGTGGCTCTACTGCTCATTCTCAGAAAGTGTCACTAGCATCCTGGAGAGCTATCCCCTGGGGTGCAGAAAAGAGATGGGGTCTCTATGGGCCAAGAAGCCCAGTGAGTGCCCAAAGGCTACTCTCCCTCCAAACTCCAATTGTTGCTGGAGGAGTTACTTTAGTGGCAGCCTGTTTGGGGTTTAAGGCATCTGTTCTTTTTGTTCCCCCTTTTACTTTTATAGTGCTAGAATCGAACCCTCAGTGTCATGCATACTAGGAAAGTGCTCTGTCACTGAGGTACACCCTCAACCCAAGGGATGCTTTTAATAAAGTATCCTAGACATGCAAAACCATATGCCCACCACTCAGCTTAGAAACAAACAGGGAAAAGTGAATCGAGTGAAGTTGCAGGATATAAAAATCAATCCCCCCAAATCAGTTGCATTTCTATACACTAATAATAAGCAATCAAAAGAGGAATTAAAAAATTACAATAATACCCCAAAGAATAAAATACTTAGGAGTACACATCTCAACAAGGAGCTATTGTGTCATATCCAATAGGATGGCGCCTATCAAAACCCCCAGCAAATAGTGTGAGTGAGGATGTGGGGAGATGAGCATTTTCAGGCTGCTGGTGGGAGAGCAAGGTGGTGCAGCTGCAGTGAAAAACTGTGTGAGATGCCTCAAGACATGAACTATAGAATTATCATATAATCCTGGGTTTATATCTAGAAGAAGGGAAAATATGATCTCAACAGATATTCATATACCCATGTTCAGAGGAGCACCATTCATAATACCCAAAGGTAGAAGCAAACCAAGTGTCTACTGATGGATGGGTAAACAATGTGGTGTATGCATACAATGGAATGTTATTCAGTCTTAACTGGGAATTCTGACCCATGCTACAACATGAATGGATCTTCAAGACATCATTCTAAATGAAATAAGTCAGACACAAAAAGACAAATAGCTTTGGTTCTACCTATAAGATGTTCTTAGAGTAGTCAAAATTCATAGAAATAGAATAGTGGTTACCAAGGACTGAAGGAAGGGGGATGGGGTTATTATTAATGAATGCTAATTCATTACTTTAATAATTAGTTTAATTAATTAAGTTTTTACATTGCCCAGGGTGGCCCTGAACTTGTCATCCTGCCACCACAGCCTCCCAAATAGCTGGGATTATAAGTGAGGGTCACTATTAATGCCACAGTTGTTACTTAATACACTTGAAAATGGTTAAGTGATAAGTTTTGTTTTATATATATAAATACAGTATATATATATATATAGTCTATATAGTACATATTTATATATTAGTATAATAGATAATACTATACTAATAGTATGTGTATGGTATATACAGTATATACAGAACTATAATATATACTCGTATATATGCCAATATAAAAATATTAGTGCCAAAGAAAGAAGAAGAAGGGAAGAAGCAGAGCCCATCTTCAAAAGTGGAGCCTTTCTTACAACAGTCTTCAGGGGCTGTGGAGTGTGTGTGTGTGTGTGTGTGTGTGTGTGTGTGTGTGTGTACACGCATGCGCATGTGCATAGGCAGGATGCATTGGAGTGTCACTGAGTAGGTGATGATCTTTCTTCCCTAAGTAATTTCTTGCCTCACTTTCTTTATCCCCAGGATTATTTGTCCTCAAGGGAGCTTCATACCTATCTGTGGACAGTGAGGGACACAGGAGAATAAGATTAAGAGGAGCAGGACTGCAGGCTGGATACTGCCCCTGTGACTCATTCTGTGGGCCTCTTCTTTGCCTGTTTGAAGAGAAACAGAAACCTGCAGGGGGCAGCACGGGCTGGTACTTCACCAGCAAGGGACTAGCTCACTGCCTCGTGGGCTTTTGCAGGAAATCCCAGCCTTTCCAGGCTTAGGGGAAGCTGGGGATTTCTGAAAGGAGCCTCATTTCTGGTGTTGAGATATTCATGATGCTCTGCAAGATGGTGATGCTGGTAAAATTGGGGTTCCTGGGCTTCCTGGTCTCCTGGCCTCTGTGGTCCAGCCAACCTCTTTCCTTATCCCTCAGGATCACTTCTAAAATCTCCCAACTTCAGAGCTGACAGGGACTTAAATGATGATCTAACTCTAACATCATTTTACAGAGAACACAACAGACCTTGCAAGGGAGGCGTGTGTGTGTTCCTGTCTTACAGCAGAGAAAACAGGCTCAGTGAGGTTAAGTGACTTTTCTCAAGTCCCACAGAAATAAAGCAATATGGTAAAGATCTTTGGTTGGAAGGCATCAAAAAACAACTGGTTCACTTAAGCAACGCAGAGGAACACGGATCCTAGGGCATCTTGTAAAATGGCAGGAGTTGAGTGATGCGGCTCTGGGCAGCCGCACTTTGTGGCCCTTTTTGTCCTGAGAATGCCTGTGTGAATCAGCCCCCGCCCCAGCTCAGCAGGCCTGGTATTGCTCAGATTGGAAATTCAAGTTCCTGAGAGAAAGGTTCTGCATGGACTGCTTGGATTCCTCTGCAGAAGGGACAGGATCAGTGTCATCAGCATGAAAGTGGTGGATTTGTTTTGAGTCCTCAGTGAAGGCCTGACCCTTTTGCGCCAGTGTCAGCAGCTGGGCTCTGTTGGTCCCTGCGGCTCAGAGGGGCCTTTGCAGGGTGGTGCACTCAGGTAGCTGCAGGCTCTTCCCAGCTCTGAGGCCAGCCAGGAAACCAAAGGTATGATTTGCATTTTAATAAAGAATCCAAGAGACCAAAGGCCTCCAGGTCCTAAAAGACTGATTTTCTTCCAGGGTGGAGGTCCGGGCGTTGTCACTGATGGGGCACTGGGGATAAGGCACCTCTGGAGCACAGCCTCCAGCTTATGAAGTTCACCTGTTTATCTTGCTTTACCGTGTTCCCCCAACTCCTTTCCATCTCCCTCTCCAAGGATTTAGTAATATGTTGTCTAGACACTACTGCCGCTGTTTCTCCTCCATTAATCCATTTTAATTGGAAAGTTATCATAATGCAAACTCTCTTTGGTATTATTTGCAGCTCTGCGTTATTAGAACTTCACCAACTCGCTTTCCCAGCAAATTAAACTTGCTATGGAAGCAATGAGATCAGCTGCTCATATTAAATCAGGCTGCATGTTGTTAAGTGGGGCTGGGAACGGGGCTTCCTCAGCTGGGTGGGGCACCATCACTGGAGGCTCTGACAATGGTACCACTGTTTCTGTGCTGGGGATTCGGCCTCTGGGCTCAGTTCTCTTTTTGGCACTGTGTGTTGGAAATTAGGGATGGAAAGAAAGAGCGGACAAAAAGCTTCTGGTGGTATCTGGCCTCTCACCCAAGACCCAGGGCAAATGGTGACAATCAGAATGCACAGGCCTAATACTTGACAGATGGCAAAGCACAAAGTACCTTCCATTCGTGGTGACGTTTGGTAGTGCAGGGACTCCACGCCAGGGCTGCTGGGTCTAAAACCCTGAAACCCGGGGGTGGGACTCCAACCAAATGAACAAATTCCTTTCTCAGAGATCCTGGAATGGATTCATTTTCGGTTTATGGTACGGAAAGCAGTAAATAAAGTAACCAGGTTTCGTATTTGTGGATGAGTCTAACCCAGTTGATAGACCCACATGGCTGACACTTACCACCCGCCCAGCAGCCATTCTCCCTTACTCCCTTGTTACTGGAAACTGATTTCCTTAAGGGGGAAACATGCCCAGGTTCGGAGGAAGACTCATGATTGGTTTAAGTCAGTCATGAGATTCCCTTTGTCAGTGTGTGGTCCAGAGGCGAGCGTACAATACAATTCTGACCAATCACGTCTCAGGGAAAGACTCTCAGGGCCTGCTGGGAAACTCTCTCTGATGACTGAGGGATGTGGGGAGGGAGCTTGTGCTTCTTTCCCCTCTTCCAGGATGGACAGTATTTATGTTGGCTTTTGAAACCTCCTCCCTCCACGGCCTGTGACGGGCCTTTGGGCTCTTGTGACCCTGGGTAGGTTATGGTCTATGTGACTGCATGCTGACGGGATGTTAATAACTACTTACCGAAAAGCTGAATCTCAAGTGCTTCGTGTTTCTCAGCAGCCAGGACAGCAGGTCCTGCTGTGGGTGGACTCAGCCATGTCCTCGAAGAAACCAAAGTTGTACAAACTGACCCACCTGAGCCCCAGCCTGTGCATCGCAAAGGATGGGGACCGTAACCCCCGACTCTATATTAGCCCTCCAAGTTCATTTTCTTCTTGAAATGGCTCTTCCACTCCCTGCGAGGAAGACCACAGGGGGTGGGGATGGGGTGGGGGAATGGGGGAGGCCCTGCAGGACTAACTGCCAGAGGCTCATGGGTTCTTGAGAGGGTGTCCCAAGACCTAGGGAGAAGTCAGTGACATCAAGTCTCCAGGGCAAGGCCCAGGGAGCAACATTCTCCCATAAGTTTTCCAGTTGTCCTGCCCACTTGTATGTTTGAGGGCCACCCAGGGACCCAATCTGTCCTCTAGCATGGCCAGAGACAACAGGGCAGTATGGATGGCTTGCTCTGAGAGCCAGAGAAGCAGAAGCACAGTCCCTCAGGTGACCCAAGGGCATGGTGGAGGCTGGAATTGGATTCCTCTCTCCACCGTCTCAGTGACCACTGTCCACTTCTTGAAGGGATAGAAAGGGGTGGGCTGAGAGATCCAGAATCAAGGAGTGTTAGTGGTTGGGGGAAGCAGAAACCCTCACCCATTCTATCCATCTCTGCAGGCTCCCTACCATTCGCAGCCCAGATTCCTGGTTAAGTAATATAAATTAGAAATAAGGAGCTTTTGGGTATTATTTCCGGTGTGCCCGGCACAGGTTTAAATGTTCTACAGGTGCTCACTCAATTAAAACTCACAATTACCCCATGTTATTGTTTGGATGTGAGGTGTCCCCCTAAAGCTCATGTGGGAGACAATGCAAGAAAGTTTAGAGGTGAAATGATCGGGTTATGAGAGCCTTAATCCAATCAGTGAATTAATCCCCTGACAGGGATTAGCTGAGGGGTGATGATAGGCGGGCAGGGTGTGGCTGGAGGAGGTGGGTCACTGGGGATGTGCTTTCTGGGTATATATTTGGTGAGCTGAGTTAGTCTTTCTCCGCTTCCTGGCCTGTCCTGAGCTGCTTCCCTCCACCATACTCTTGCCTCACTTGAGCCCTGAGGAATGGAGCCTGTTGTCTATGGGCTGAGACCTCTGAAACTGTGAGCCCCCAATAAACTTTTTCTCCTATAAATCTGCTTTCATCAGGATCTTGGGCACAGCAGAGGAAAAAAAGTTGACTAAAATACCCCACCAGAGAGGCACTGTTCTTATCCCCAGTTTACAGATGAGGAAACTGAGGCACTGTCCTCACTGAAAGTCCATCCAGACTCTCAGCCCTGAGGGCTACTGAGTGGGCATTCTCTAGGGCACTTCTAATGGGAAGCTTTCATTTTATAGACCTGCCTAGAGCAGGAGAGGCCCTCCGGAGCCACACATGTCCATGGTGGAGCTGGGGCCAGGCCTGGGTTCCAGCCTCGGGTCATGCTGCCTTCCTCAGAGAGGGGTGCTTCTGGGCTGAGGTGGCCACAGGGCTCATTACTGATGCTACAAATTGAATGAAATAGCTGCTCAGTTACAAATTAATAACAGATTTGTTTGTCATTAAGGCAGCATTGTTTAATAAAATTAGTTCAGCTGAGTGTAATTACCTTCATATAAAATTCCCCCTTAAAAATTACTTTGATAAATCTAAGCCAATTAGGTGGGTGTTAGGACTAGGGTGTGGGATTTGGCTCTGAACTTTAGTTGGGTCCCTGCAGTAACACCCCCAGATTGGAAGTTCAATTCCCAAAGCCCTTTGGTTGTTCCCCTGGGGACCTCTGGAAGGACCAATGAAAAATATAAAATCAGCTTCTCCAAGGGAAGTTTTGAGAATCTTGCATTCACCCTTATGCTAAACTCAAAGTAGTATTTGCCCTAACTAGGCCCTGACTGTCTCGAACCCAACTGACAGAATATTTTTCTCTTGCTACCCTGCCCCCTTTCAACACTCATTCCTTTAGTGTTTCCAAGCCCTTCCTCTGCTTTTAACTTCCAGGGGTGCCCTTTTGTCCCTAACTAACCCAAATCTCCATCTTATTATTCCAGGCCCTGCAAATCTGGTTTCACAGTGGTTTAGTGAAAATGATAACCAAACTGGGAACCAGGAGTCTGAGGTCTGAGACACAACCCAGGACCCAGCACATGCTCAGACAAACACAAGTACCTTTTTAGGCCTCTCTTGATTTACCTAAAAACAGGAAGCAGTGTTTCCCGGATGGTCTAAGGATCACAGGAGATTGCAGATGCTTACATGCCACAGACCCCACTGTGACCTCACGTCTGTTCCCCACTCCTCCAGGCTGCTGTGCCTGCCTTGTTGCTTGGGCTCACAGCCTCTTTCTAGCACGCCTCCTCCTCCTCTCTGATTACTTGGCTTGGTCTTAAAGGTCCAGTTAATACCCTCCTCCTCTGCCAGCCTTTCTGGCCCTCTCCCTATCAGCCACCCCGAGCTTGTCTCTGAGAGCGCGTCCCCAGCCAGAGGTGGGGCTAGGTGTACGAGATCACGCCCTGGGTTTGTTTGTAGGACCCTCTTCCTACATTTGCCCTGGGATTCTGGCTTTTTTTTATACACGGTGCCCTGGGGCTCAAGAGCAGGGGAGCCTATGCAGGCTTGTAAGAAAAGTACCCCAGCTTATGCTGCAGGGAGGAGGCTGAGATATAGGAGGAAGCAGGGTGGACACTCAGGTGACAAAGCGGATAGCCCATGTCATAGTAAGCCCTGTGTCTCTTGTACAGGATTATCCCCAGCTTATCATGGAGAACATCTGGGGCCTGCAGGCTGGCACAAAGTCCTCTGTAGCTTGAGGCTGCAGTTTTCTCATTTGTGGAAGAGTGAAAACAACCTGTACTTCACAGGGTGGGTGATGAGAAAAGAGATATGAGGCCGCTTCAAAAGTAGAAAATAGATCTGAAAGCCAGTGGTCACTTCAAAGCCCAGGAGTAGATGTCAGAGCACAGAGGCATCTGGAAAGGGGGGGGGCCTTTGAGGTCAAGCAGTCCCTCTGCTCTGAAGCCCTGGCCGATGGTCTGGTGGACAAACACCCATTTCTAGGTGGAATTCCAGCATCTACCAGGGAGCCAGATGTTTGGGGACTGTGGTGAGTCTGGTAAGGTGGCAGGGGCCTCGGCCCTGCTTCCTCTGCAGAGAGGAGAGGATATTCCCCTTGGCCCTTGGTTTCCCCTGGTCACCTCATTCCCAGGGCCCAGACTCCCAGGGTGGCCCTCCTGAAAGGCCTCCCAAGTCACCCAGCCAGAGGGCTTGGGAAGGGGAGAGGGCTGGAGAGCACACACAGACTGGAAAGTTCTGAAAATGCTTTTCCTGGGCACCAGCCCCCTCCGCGCCCCCTAGTTCCCTCTAAAGCCCCTTTTGAAGGGGACCTCGGAGCTCTAATGAGTTGAGAGCTTTTATGGGAGCCCAGGCAAACCAATTAGGTTTGCTTAAAAATATTGTATTCATTAGCATGAAAATAAAGCTGAACTTTTTAGAGATAATTGCATCTTTTAAAATGTGGTAGTCTTTGTCTGGGCTTGTCTCATAAATATGCATGCTGCATAATCCTTTTGGAACCGTGGTCGCAATCATGAGTAACACACAAATGCATCCAGGGTGTTAATATTCTGACAAGAGCGGAGCCTCTCGGGCAGGCGGTGGTGCCACCGGCGGAGGCCTCCAGAGGCGTCCCTGTAATCCCCAGCTGCAGCCCCACGGCTCACAGGAACAGAGCCCAGTCCTGGGTCCCCGATAGGGTGCACCAGGGCGCCAGTTCTAAATCGCTCTCTTTTGTGCTGCTGCCTCCATGGAGGTGGGCTGCACGATTCTGGGGGCTTTGCTCAAAATTCGGGAAAGGGTGGCCCAGAGGTTGAGCTCAATTTACAGCTAGGGAAATTGAAGCCCTGGGGGGTTAAGTGGGTTGCTAAGGTCACCCAGCATGATGGCACAAGGATGAAGCCCAGTTTGCCCTTGCAGACGGATGCATTTACATTTAGTGGTGAAGGCCTGCCTTGCAGGTTAGTTGGCCTGGGTGGCTGGGGGAAGGACAGGTCCCTCCCTGTCTATCAGCTGCCCTCTAGTGCCCTGGCTTCAGAACAAGTCCTGAGTCCTCCCTTCCCAGTTGACTCCTCAGACCTTTTAGGTAGAAGTTCCTCTACTGCGATGGTCCTTGTCCTACTGGGTTTCTTTTATTGCTTCCAGCCCCCACTTCTTCCAAATGCAATAGTGCTATAATATCAATACCCCACTCTGGGCTGAGTTTGTGGCTCAGTGGTGGAGCACTTGCCTAGCATGTGGGAGGCCCTGGGTTCGATTTTCAGCACTGCGAATAAATGAATAAATGAAAGTCCACTGACAACAACAACAACAACAAAAAAAAAAATATATATAAAATCCTACTTTTTTGTGGGACCCAAGGACTGGCCTCTGGGGAAAACCAGCTGCTCAGTGAAGCTGCATTTCAGCAAACATTTTCTAAGTGCTTCCTCTGTCTAGGCCCAAGGGAAGCCTGATAGGGCAACAGAGACCTAAAAGCAGGTAGCTGCTGCCTTTGTCACTACTGCTGGGAGAAGGAAGCATGGTTAGGCCTGTGAGGTGCCTTCTAAGGTCAAGCTGAGGGAACTTGGATCAGAGAAGACCTGGAGTGCTTAAGGGAGAGCTGACTGTGGCCAGGCTGGCTGCATCTTGGAAGAAGGGGCAGCATCTGGGAAGGCTTTGGGGGAACAGCTTGAAGAGAGGGAGGTCTGGGTTTGGGGGTATATTTGGGCAATATCTGAGTCCAGAAGGGTTTTCTTTACACTTTCGCACCTCCTTGCTGTCCCAAGATCCTCGGCCTCCACCACCTATTCCTCTGCTCCTCCCTAACATTCCCAGGCCATGCTGCAAGACCTTCTTAGGGCTCCAGAACTCTCCTTCCAAATAGGAAATTATCCAGATGTCTGAATCTGCCCCTGTGGCTTGAGATTATGTATTGTGCTTATTTACAGCCTATCTGCCTTTGTTAGCTTGTTACATTAAACCACATAAAATTGCCAATGTCTGACCACTGTGGAATAAAATGGCAATTCTGACCTCTGTGGGCTGCTGTCTGCAAGCAGGCACAGGATATGCACTCTCCTTTCATCCTCAGGAGGAGCTCAGGAGACAGATACTGGGATTACCACCCCCCCCTTGCACAGATAGGGAAACCAAGGCAAAAGGTGTCACTGAACTCAGGGGAAAACCAATCTGAGAGATGAGTGTTGGGGAGAAAGAAAGTCTATTCAGAAGCCACAGAATAGGCAACAAGGAACTTTGTTCAGAAATCAGCTTTTCAACCCCAGGACATGGAGGTGTTGCAGGTAAAGATGGGAATAATGCCAGGTAGGGAAGGGTATTAAAAGGGAAGAATTCCACGTCTCTGGGAATAGGTAGAGATCTTCCAGGACGACCTTGGTGCCCTCCCTTGGCATTCCTTTCATGGCCTGGTGTTTCAGGGCAAGTTGGCAGGTGGGCATCTTTAGATATGTGTGTGTATGTGTGTTGAGGGGAGACTATGAAAGTCTAGGCCAAGTTAATCCTAAAGTTTTGGACAAAATAGTCCTCAAATGATCAACTTGTCTACTCAGCAGAGTTGAGTAAATCTGATCCCAAGGTTAAGGGGACAGAGGAGACAGACACAATATGAAGAAAGAGATGCCAAGCCTTTCATCCCATTCCAGTCACCCATGGGACACCTAAAGGCCCAAATGTGGAATCAGCGTTTTCAGCAAAAGTAACCTTCAGGCTGGGTGCAGTGGTGCATGCCTGAAATCCCAGCAACTCAGGAGGCTGAGGCAGGAGGATTGCAAGTTCAAAGTCAGCCTCAGCAAAAGTGAGGCCTTAAGCAACTCAGTGAGACCCTGTCTCTAAATAAAATGCAAAATAGGGCTGGGGATGTGGCTCAGTGGTTGAGTGCTCCTGAGTTCAATCCTCTGTAACCCTTCCCCACCACCACAAAACAAAGTGACCTTCAGGTCCTGAAGAGCAACTTAGGCAATTATCATCATAGCCTATAAATCAGATCTCTGGTGGGAAAGTAGTAATGTATTGGCAGCTGTGTGACCATGGCAGCTCATCCTGCAGAAGGCAGACACACATGTAGGGAGTAGAGAAAAGAGCATCCCGTAACTCTGAGGAGAATCCTGGTTGTTGAAGGCAAAGTATGATTCTGAGTTTTTAATGGAGAAGACAAGTCAGTGGTGGCTCAGAGCAGGGCTCCCTGTTCTCACCAGCCATAGGAAAGAGCTGGGGGTACAGAGGGTGGCGATTTTCCTACAGGGTGTGCAAAATGGCACAAGGCACATGTCTCTGGCTTGAGTTTTTAGACAAAGAAATGCAGGTCTGTTGGTGAAGTCCAAACCATAATGCAAAGGTCAGAGACTGGTAAACACAGTTCTGTTTGGAAGCAGGATACCCAGAGCTTGGTCCAGGAAGGAAACCTCCTGGTGATCTGGTTTACCATAGGGATGCAATCAGGAGAATCAAGAACAAGCCTAAAGTCATAACTGTTGTCAGATATGACTTTGAGTCCCTGCTCTGGGCCCTGTTTGGTGGGTGATCCTATGCCAATTAATCATGTGTATCATTTTCATGCCAAGACTCAGTGACCTCTGGAGTCCTTTAATTTCTATGCATAACTATTCCAGAAGAATCAGTATATTTATAATAAGGACTTTAAAAAAAAACTTAAATTGTGCTGGGCATGGTGGCACACGCTTGTAATCCCAGTGGCTTGGGAGGCTGAGGCAGGAGGATTCAATTCAAAGACAGCCTCAGCAACTTAGCAAGGCTGTAAGCAACTCAGCAAGACCCTGTCTCTAAATAACAGTGGTTAAGCACCTCTGGGTTCAATCCCCAGTACCAAAATAAATAAATAAAAAACAAAAACAAATAAAAACTTAAATTGATTGCTTATTGGTGAACAGTCAGGCCTGGATTCAAGGATTGAGGCTGGACTCCACTGAGTCCTCTCATCCTACTTCATTAATATAGCAGATGTACCCTGATCTTATTTGGTTCTTAGGATCCATTATAACCATGTCAGAAATCAGGGAGGAGGAGGGACCAAGGAGCACTACTAACCTCACAGCATGCATGAGGCTGTGAGTTAGATCCCCAGCACTTCCCTCCCCCAAACCTAGCTTCTGAAATCTCACACAACAAATATACCATGAACATCTTTTTATGTCCCTAAATATAATGCTACTTTAGTTAAAATTATGTCTGAATAGAAGTCATCTTCCTAAGATTACTTTAAAAATTTTCTATATTTTCTTCTGCTTAAAAAAAAACAACAAAACACTAACATGGGCGAGGGGAGTACAATGGCAAAGGTGGTGTCTTGCGCCTTCTCCGTCAGGTGTCTCTGGTTCTCTGCCCTTCACAGCACCCGGGTGGGTTTGACTTCCTGCCCTTCTCGGGACAGGGTGGAGCCCTGTGACTGGAAGTAGCCAGGGCTGGGAGAGGAAGGGTGGTGGGCTTCAGGACCAGGCAGGTGGGGCTGAGCAAGGCCTTGGGCGGGCGTTCAGAGGCTCTCTGGCAACAAGCTTGCCTTGTTTATTCTTATGAATTTACTCTTCAGGCCACTTGAGACAACTGATAATTTGGGAACTCTTCAAGTT